AGTATTGTCTGCTTTAAAAACCACATGGGTGATGGAGAAAATGTACAGGATATTTCTAAATACATATTATATTTAAATTTTCAATACATTCTAGATAAAATTGCAGGTAATATTTCATAAGACTTTAATTTTTTTAATGGAAAAATTTATATCAATCAATATTACTTTTATGTTCAGTATCTCATTTTAGGTTTAAACAGAACCAATGCGCTGTAATGGTGTTCTTTTTTCTTCTCTTCTTTCTACATTGTTATTAGCTTTGTAATCATACACGATCCAGTTTTTTTTTTCAATATTGGTGTATGTTTGAAAAAGAAAAAGAAAACAAAGAATATGTAACATATATGTACATGTACTTTAATATATTTGTGTAGGTGTTAGCTACATGTATGATTAAATTTAAAATACTTCTGTAAACTGGTGAATTTACACGAATCTTCAAAAATGAAAGGTGTCCTTAACTATCTGAAATATTTTAATTATGAATCTATAGTTTACAAATGTATTGTACAGAATCAGAAACAAAATAAGTTTATGCCCAGTGAGTGATCTTTCTTATTAGCTCAGTCAGGAAAACCTGAATGATTCGAGCTTTTCTATCCTAAATATTTCACCGTCAAGGAAGCTCCATGATCTGAAGGTCGTGGGTTCGAATGCCGGCTGCGACTGACCTTAGTCGATAAAAAGTCGATAGCAACTTTTCCCTTGCCCAGCGCTTGGCACTTTGAAGCGAAAGTTGTGGGTCTTTCGGATGAGAACTTGAAACTGAGGCCCACTGTCACTGCAAGCGTTGGCACGTAATGTTAAATGACCCTGAGTGCCGAGCAAATGTATAGATTTGAAGCCCTTTATAGGTATACCGCGACGTCTCTATATGAATGAAATATCTCGAACAAGACATTAAATAATATACAATAAAACCATCTAATCCCTAATTTTTCATGTTAATGTAGCAATATTCCATCACTATCTGCGTAAGATTTTTATGATCCCATGCTGTTTCGTGTCGAAAAATCATTTTCTGTGTACAGTTAATTTTTAAATCAATATATGTTATTCCTAGATAAACTGATGTTATAGAACATTCACAATTCTCATATAAAGGCATCATGTCGCAAATTATATTGTGTGTAAATAAATCATGTGTGGAATTTTGACTACTTTGTTAATTATCGTTTTCTTTAAATAAATGCATTGCTTTTCTATTGATTCTGTCTAACAGCTGCTTCTTGAACCTGGACAATGCAGAGGACTAACGGAGGATGTGGGGATGCTTACTCATCTTGACACCTTAACCAAACACTGGAAATCGTGTTTCTGTTCTATGCTCGAACAGTTCTGACTTTAGAATTAAAGAGATAGGTGGCATAGATCACTCTTGTATTCATATTTCCATTGGATATTAAAAAAACCTTCTTTACAATGTTTGTCTTTGAATAGATCGTTTGACCTTTTCTTATTAGAAAATAAATAATTCTGGTTTGGAAACTTAATTGTTATTTGAAATGGAAAAGAAATCTGGGCATTCTAGATTTACAAGATTTTTTCCTTATTATTAACCAAGATAGATAATATTAGTTATGAATCACTTTGCAATGGCTATTCTTGGTAGCACGAAAGTTCAATGCATCCTATTTAATAATTCTCTGACATTTCTTCGCTTGTATTTCAGAAGTGCTAAAATTGTGTTTTGTGACAAGTCTATGCAATTCTTTTAATGTTTTGTGTGATTTCCTCACATGTCATGTTATGCAAAATCAAATACATAGTACAGCCCCTGATACGTTCTACTTTCCCACTTGAACGGTGAGCGAACGCTGAACGAACGCAGAGCGAACGGTGAGTGAACGATATGTGAACGCTGAAGGCAACTTGGTCAACGATGTGTGAACGGTGAGCGAACGCAGAACGCGAACGGAGCGCAAACGCGAGCGCAAAGTGAACGGTGAACGAACGGTGAACGCAAGATGAACGATTTATTCGGAATGCCTCTGATCTTTTCCTTGCATTGAAACTATTCTATTGTATTCTAATGCCTGGTGCTAAAAAATAAATAAATAATAAATAAATAAAGAAATCAATGAAAATTGCCCTGAGTAGGACGATACATGTACATGCACATTAAGTAAAATTATTAATTTAAGTTTCTTACCATATTTTCTGCACATATGTACGATGTTTAAATTCAACTTTTTAATAACACGATTTTTTATCGCTGTAAAACATTGTAATTGTTACCGAACGCTGTAGTATAAAAGATAAAATTAATCTAGTTGTAAAATAAATATTGTTATTTGATATGTAAAACCATTACAAATAATGTGGATTTTAGAGGAGAAAACTACGGTCTTATAGAATGAATTACAACAGTTGTAAGAACCATACATATAATTCCGTGTCAAGGCGATTCCGTGTAAAATAATGAGATTTTTTTTTCACAAAGGTATGTGGACGCATTGCATAAATACATTCTTATTCTTAAATTTTAATGCAATATTTTTATGATGATTTATTGAGCAGACTTTTACATGAATCTGTAGACATTTCCTGGCCGTGATTATACTCGGACAAAGAGGCAATCATATTATTTGTTATATATTTAATTTTCACAACTTGATATTTAAGTAATATGCTGTCATAGTCTTTATTAAGCAGACAAATGAGAGAGAGAGAGAGAGAGAGAGAGAGAGAGAGAGAGAGATTCGGTTTTAGCCCCCCCCCCCTTCCTCAAATATTTGTACCTATATCAAACAAAAATTCTTATTTTTTTCTAAATATATCAGGCAGTGAAAGTAACATTTTTATCAACAAATCCATTTGTTTTACACTCATAATAGGTTATTTTCCTGCTTCAAGTTCACACGAAGTCCACGTGCTTTACCTGTCAATCAAAATCATTCGACACTGTGCAGGTGTGAAAGTCTCGTTACACCGAAGGCAAAGTTTTAGAAGAAGATTTAACATTTTTTCTTTTCATTTCTAGATTTGATTCCAACATTTCTAAAAGAAAAATAAATAAATAAATAAAATACATTTGGAATAAACACTTGGAATGATTAAGCCGCTTGAATTTGAAACATGTATACTCCCTGCCAATTTTAAATATCACCGCCGACACATGTATATTTTGAACTTCTATTGTTTAATGACTTTGTTTAGATGCATATTTGTTTTGAGACTGAAATTTATGTACAAAACACATCAACGTCTTTTTAAATGTTAATTAAAATATACTGGAAATACTAAGTAACCGATTTAGGGGAAAAAGGGGAGGGGGGGGGGCTCTTAATCATATCGAATGGCAAACATATAAAGTTACGGTAAAAAATATCATTACTGGAAAATCACCTTGGTTATATAAATGATGATCATGTTATAAGGCATTTCTCTCTGTCTAATTAAGGACTTTTTATATATCAAGTAGAAAAAAAAATCTATAATTTATTACATTTTAAACAAATATTTTTTTAAACCACACTATCAATTTAATTCGCTATAAAGATATTTAATTAACTGGATATCCGTTGTACTGTTTATTATTCTCAGAACTAGTTCTAACATGTATTTCTGTATTATTTGAAAAAAAATAAGATAGAATTAAATATTTTCGTATTTTTGCTGCAATTGGTACACTGTAAATTAATTGACTTCGATTATTATCTATCCATTAACGATTTGTCGTCTTTAGCGTAACAACAAAATGCTGCAGTGCTTGAAGTATCTGTATATTGCCCGTATTTAACTTTAATTTTTCAACATCGTTCTACATAGGTACATACATGTACTTATAACAACATTTATTTTCCAGATAAATTTAATATATAACCGAACAGCTAAGTTAGAATAATAAAAATAAATATTGTCGATAATTTTTTCCCCATGAAATATTGAATCTTTAAACACGATATGTTAATTTTTAAATTCAAAACCTGTAAATCCTTACTTAAAAAAAGATAAGTCCTTTCACTTCGGAGTTCCGAATGACAATAAAGACTGAACGATAAGTAAACGCTGAACGCAAGATGAACGCAAAGTGAACGAACGAAGAGCGAACGCTGAACGCTTTGTGAACGGTGAACGCGAGCGCACGGTGAACGCTGAACGCAAAACTGTGAACGGAGAGCGAACGGTGAACGCACGGTGAACGAACGGTGAGCGAACGGAAAAATGGGAAAGTAGAACGTTTCAGGGACTGTACATAGATAAAGACGAGACTTTATTTAAACAGTTAATTAAGCCTACTTGTGCATTTTAGCATGGCTGTAGTTCCAATAACAAAACAGGGTTTCTTTAATGTCTAAATAAATGCATTTAAACACAGAATTCCATCAACGTTAAACGGCTAGTAATGTATCCTTTATGATGAAGAACCGGTAATGTTTATATAGGAAATAGGTATACATCAAGAATAATGAAAGCTGATAATTCAAATTACATATGCTTACATTTTTCAATGATGATAATAATGATAGTGATAAATGCAGTAAAATTCTGAACACATTTATGAACATTCTGAACACATTTATGAACATTATGAACACATTTATGAACATTATGAACACATTTAGGAACATTAATAGTTGCATTTGAGAATAAAAAAGGCAACATAATTAGGAACACATATATAAGCTAAAGCTAATATTACCAAATTAGAAGTTATAATAGTGACAAACAGCTGTATATTTCTGAACACATACATGTATATGAGCTATAATGCTTACTTCGGAAATTAAAAAAAATGCTGCATAATCAAAAGCAAAATGTTGAAATAATGATTACAATTTCCAAATAATAATAATAACATCAACAATACAACAACAATACATGGTTCTGAACACTGGAAAAAAATAGGCATTCATTTTCCAAGCAGTTTGCTCTTAGGAGGAAAAAATCCAAATTAAAAAAAAATAATAGAATAACACAGACACTATGCAGTTATACGAAAATAATAGAAAAGTTTATGATTGTACAACATCTATAAAAACGTTACAAAACCTAATCAGTATCAATCTTGGAATTAAACAGGGGAAAGAAAAAGAGGTGCATTCCCAAAATGTAAATACTTGAAAGAAAATGTAGATTTTATTAACAAATGTCTTAATTACAGGAGATATAGTCTACATCTTAATGAGTTATCTATATTTCCACCTGGTCACTCCCATTTGGTGTTGTATATCTTACCTTGCTTCCCTTATCTGTTTTATTTTTATCTGTAAAGTAAAGACAAATCTCTAATCAAAAGTATGATATGCCTCCTAATGTTTCAGATTATTTCATAGACTTTGTGTTTGCTGTTTATCAAAGTTTGGTATCTTTCATTATTTGTATGGATACCAGAAATATAAAAAAAATGACATGACAAGACAGTTTTATGAGTTTGCATCTACACCGGTACTAATACGATATAACTTCTGTGGGGAACCTTGATATTGAACTTAAAAATCATATATATTTTTTTTTTCAATGATAGTTATTTGCTTGTAATAACTTTTCAACACATTTTTTAGATATATGTATCGATAAAAATAATGTTTGAGGTTTGTACAAAATCCAAAAACAGTATCGACATATACAGACGAATGTATTTGAGAAATTGTTGGGTGAAATAACATGGATATTTAATTGTTTGAGATATAAAAAAAACTTACTTGCACAAGCGACGCATATCTGTCTATATTTCTCTCTTTTTCGGATGAAATACAACACTACTGCTATAATGCAAAGTACAGTCACCGATACAAATACAAGGGAAACAATCAGAGTAAAATTTTCCTCATCTTCCTTGTGCATTCTGAAAAGAAAAATATATATATATATATATATAACGTCAGTTAAGATATTACATGTATCTTACTGCTTTATAATTAATTGCGTTGATTTCCATTGAATTTGAAATTACGTCGTTACAACTATATAACATTAAATCATTTACCCATCACTTGATGTAAAATTTGTTTTCACTGATGACGTCCCTCTTCGCTGTAAATTTAGATAGCATTCGGAATCTGAAAACAGAGGCTTACATGTATGATATTGACATACCTCTGATGTATTAATTGAAATGGAATAATTTTGAAATTTTCTTTAAACTGGTGTCTTTTATTATCACCAAAATATGTAAACAGCTATAAGTGCAAAATACAATGAAAGTTTTGTTCTTAATTCAATTGAAAATAATTGATGAAAAAAGTTGTATATGTCTGTCAGGGAAACCTTTATCCTAAATCATGTAATATGTTTGAGAGTTTAGGGTTTGGTCAATGCCTCATAGCTCAATTACCTTATATTATGTCACAATAACATATATTAAGGATACATAAAACATCAAAAGGGATATATTTCTTTAAGGGGGCTCTGTCTGTATGTAGAAAATATTAAAGTTATTAATGTTCTTTATAACAGACTTTCTATATAGAAAGAGAACGTGCAATTTCAAAATATATATATATATATAATAGAGGAAAAAAGTAATACCCCCACTTAGGTGTTTGTCTTTACATGTGTGAACCTTCATAATTGGATAACCAGGGAAGAAACCACTATAATTCCATAAGTACCGGTACAATAAGGAAACCAAAATTCATATCTACAAGACACTCCCAGACATTCAAATGTGAATGGTGAACTGTGAAAAATATGAGAGGAGTTCAGAGAACCTAGTTTTTGTAAAACAAACATCACAGATCATTTGTTACAATAATCTGACCCCAAAGTAAAAATCATTCTTCTGATACATGTACTATACTGCACATCCACAGGACAACATCAATCACCATCCAAAACACGATTTGGCTACTGCAGAAATGTTAGAGAATTAGGTAAACGGGTTTTTATAAAGCCTCCCCCCCTTCCCCCTCACACACACACACACAAATGATAGTCTAAATTCTGAAATTTTATTGCACATCTACAAGACACTCCGGATCAAGTTTCAAAATATGAAAGAGCTGCTGAAAAAAAAAAATTAAGACAGTTCAGGAAAACAAATTTCTGTTTAAAAAATTACACTCTTGGACACCCAGTTGCCTCCAGGGTGAAAATTGCAATTGTGCACTGTACAGTCTAATTGCACATTTACAGATTACTCCCAGTCATATTCAAAATATGAATGGGCTACTGAAAAAAATGAAAGAGGAGTTCAGTTAACCAGCTTAAAAAAAATAATTGTGTTTTACATCCCCCACTCCACCCCTGAGATGGAAATGAAAATTCCAAATCTTAATGCACTTTACATAACAAAACCAATCATATTCCAAAAGATAAATTGGCTACAGCAAAAAATGTAAGAGGGGTCATAGAAAAAGGACATTTTTACCCGAATCACCTCCAGGATGAAATCAAACTTCCGAAACTTTATGGCAAATCTGAAAGACACTCCCAATCAAATACCAAAATAGGTATGGGCTATTGTGAAAAAATGTAAGAAGATTTTAACCTCCATTCTTTGGTAAATTTTAAAATCTCTTTGCACATTCTCAGACCATCACTAATCACATTCTCAGAGATTTAGTTACTGGTTACTGCTTAAAGTGTAAGAATAATTTAAGGAAGAAGATGCTCTGACAGACTGACGGACAGACGGACGGAAGGACCAGGACCTAGTAAAGTGCGGGTATAAAAAGACAAAAGTCATGCATGTATATGAATAAAACCAGTTATGTCTAAAGATGCATATGTTTACATATACATTACATTTATATGACGTCGTTGATCTGTACACCGATGGACATGGTGTATCGAATGCAGTACAGTTTGTCAGAAAACTACCCCGAATACTCATTTCATCCAAATTGAATTCAGTACATATCCCACCTACATAAAAAAAAAAAAAAAAAAAAAAAAAAAAAAACAAGTAAGAGAATTAAATAAAATTGATTCCAGGACTAAAAACATAAACATTAACTGCTCAAATAATGAACACAGAAGGTCTAAGTTACACAGAAAAAAGGAAAATTTTAAGAAGAGAGAGAGAGAGAGAGAGCTACCTCAGTTTTATATTACACGTACCAACAATCAACAGAGATGGTGCACACACTTCTATAGTATCATTCATCCAGTCATTCAGAACACAGTGATATTCAAATGACGGGCAAGAATGTTTTTTATATTCGCACCTCTTCTGTTTAACAGCATTAATGTATTCATCTTCGTTCGTTGGACATGAAAAAACACTGGAAATGGTATCAACAGAGTCCTTGCAAGGGACCACATATCCTAACATGTCCCTTGTAAGTGTCTGGAAAATCTAAAAGGAAGCAAAATTCAATGTTATTCTGCATCTTATAATATGATATTAACGTTTCATAAATCTAAAATTACAGTCTTAAAACATAAAGTTGCGGTTCCGGTTTATATTCCATTTTTCAAGTTTATAAACTTAGAATAAACTAAAATGACAAGAATTAGTCAGTACATTCATGCAATCTATAACATCAAATATTTGACTGAACATTTCGATCAACTCACATATTGTTTATTTTTTATTCGATTTCTCATGTACATGTATATGAGGAAGGAATTCATTTTTTTTAGATTTATACAAATGCTTTATGTAAGCAAATGATATATGTTATAATACCCTTACAAATTTTCACATTTATTTCATTAAATCGTATACCAATATGCAAAGGTATATCCTGGTCCAACTGTTCCAGTTTAAAGACCTAAAATTGAAAAATGAAATGGTTTAATGACTTGATTGATTTGATGTCTTTATTCCCATACTAAGCATACTATAGTAAATCATATGTAAATTTAGCTAACTATAGAAAATTAAAGTTTCAGAGTTTTCTCTATAGCAAACATAAGATTTACAAATTATCACTATCGTGTCATAGTTATCACTATTGTGTCATGAGCATCACTATAGTAAATCAAAGTCATCACTATTGTAAATCAAAGTGTCAAAGTATCAAAGTTATCACTGTAGTAACTCAAAGTGTAAAAGTTATAACCGTGGTAAATCTTTTGGAAGATTTACATTAAATAATTCAAAGTTCAAACATTATTACTACAGTATATAATTTTATTTTATAGAGGTCTTATTTAATTTCACAACATATATCCGGGTATTATACAGTTTTGCAGATTTTCTCCTTTGATCAAAGATATCTGTTGATGTCTTGTATGTAGAACAATTCTGTGAACATTGCATGCAATATATTTTATCATAAATATATATTATTCTTAGTATTGTTCCCCTTCAAAACTTTTGCTTTTCAATTACTGTTACCTGTTAAATATTTCTAAAATGAATGATGCTTGTCTTTCATTGGTCTTTCTTATATCAGTAAGTCATGTTTATATAAACGTTATTTGGTATATCAAGCAAGATGTATGCAATTATATAGACTTAGCCTGTTATACACAAAGATATAATGTATATATGTATGAGTGATAAGTATAGAAAATTAAAGTTTTTTAATAATAATCTCTATAGTGTCACAGCCATCACAACATCTAAGCTAAGTTTTCAGTGTCATCACTATAGTAAATCAAAATCTCAAAATAACTTAAGCGTTCATAATGTCAAAATGTTTAGTATAGGTAACGGTAACATGACCGTAGGAACCCCCTCCCTCCTAATAAGTTTGCTGATATTTTGCTGATAAGCTGTATATAGAATACCACAAAAAACTACTATATGTTTGTGCCCCCTCCATCAATAATAACGCCTGATGACCTCTTTTTCAAGGAATTTTGGTACTTGATAGTGCCCCTAAACTAAAAATGTATGGTTGTGCCCCATCAAAGTAAAATTGCTTCCTATGGGCTGGGTAACTATCCTAAACAATAATATATTTTAGGGGCAATTTTTATATATATTGACAAGATGTAGAAAAATTGCAAAGACAATGAAAAATCAATACAAAACAGTGTATGTATTTTATGAGATATCATTAATAGGGCAATTTTTGGAATTTATTTGAAACATTAAATTGCGTTTTACTTCTAAGAAGATGTACATTTGTAGAATAGGAGAAAAATACTGTGATGATTTACAATAAATAAGATATATAATAGTTAAACTTTAACTAATAACCATAGAAAAATGTGCATCTTTTATTAGCTAGTCAGCAGAACTGTTATTTCTTCCTGTACTTAAATGTGGACAATAGAATTGCACAATATGGCGGCCATATTTTATAATTGATATGAAAATAACTATTTTGCATTCTGACAAAAAATGGGACTTTTTTCTCACATGTCTTGTTAGAAAAACGTGTCCTCTACCGTGATTATGATAATATTGACTTTTTCAGGCACTTTAAGCAACCTAATTAGTTGAAAGTAATCTCTGTAATTGTACATTCATATATGTTTGTAAAGGAAAACAAAATCAGACAAGCAAACAGGAATATGCAATCAAATCGTAATTTTAACGAAATTTGTTGTGAATCTAGAAAGTATTCTTTTCATGTTAATAAAGGTACATAGAACATACTCAAGAAAGGTAGTCATCTCTGCTTTTGAACATTTATCCAAGCTATCGTTCAGCCAATTCAAATCATTTCTTTTCCCCTTAAATAGGTCAAAAGAGTAGTGACGTGTAATTTAAAAATGGTTTCGATAACAACAATCAAAACAAAACAAACGAATTTATCTTTAAAGCACGGCGTTTCAACATATTATCATTTTTCCAATCTACGTCATTTATAATTTTTTGTGATCCTATTAAGAATTGAAAAAAGAAAGGGGATTTATTTTTTATTTATTTATTTATTTATTTATTTATTTTTTTTTTTTTTTTCGTATTTCTAATCCAAATTTATGAAAATCCTTTTTGAAAAACGCTCATCTTCTCAAAATACGATTACTGTCAAATAAGATAGAAATCACTACCTCCCAATAACGTATCAATAGACATATTTTAAGACGTTGCAAATACTCTGTAAAAATGTGTGACCTCCTTGTTAACATACTTGCTTTACCTGCGAGTATTTTAAAACATCAGAAAAAGTGTGTCATACACCTAAACCAGGTCATCAAGAACTCCCAGAGAGTAAACTTTATCAAAATAGGTGAGGCCAGTAAACAAATGGACAAAATCACAAACCCCTTGAAACACCAAAGGTTAAATAACATGTCTAGCTCGGAGGGAAAATCATGTCACGCCTACTATAAACCCTTTCTTTGACAAAAGGCAACAAAGTGTATATTTATAACTTATGATGCATGAAAAAAGGTAATCATGTCTTATTCTAAAGTGGTTTGAATTTAACAAAAAATACTTTTTTTTAATGCTAACATGAATTGTGTGTTTTGAGAGATTTCCTTTACAATGAATATATTTTATAAACAGTTAAATATTTATTATAAATTGACGCTACGTTTGATTGATTAGAACTTTATCTTCATTATGCATTGATTATATAAAATACACATTTTTAGATCCTAGTCACTGCAAACACAATGTATTTAAAGCGTGTTAAATTTTGTATCAAAGAACAAGGTGCCTACGGTTTCAACACAAATCTTGCCTGTATTTTTCTTAAAAATGAAAGTGATGTAAAAAATTAAAACTCATACTTTCTGAATCATTGAAAGTCCAGACGGAAAGATCATACAACTCATTTTCTCGCATGACCTTTTAAATGCTAATAGTGACGTTATGTACTTGTGCATTTTCCCGTATTTTCTTTAAAAATGCAGAAGACATCAATTTTTAATTAAATTTTCTTTCAGATAATATAGACCACATGCATCGCCCACAAAGATTTTGAGATATGAAATTTTTCAATGAATTTTACACTATATATCCGAAAATTGAAGTGGGCGACCGCTGTGGACACTGTTGTCTTAAAGAAAATAATCTCTGGAAAGGGTCATTTTGAGGCTATTTCTGCTTATAACAGAGAATTGCATCCAATTAATGACGTCATATTTCCAGAATGGCCCTCTTTATGCCATATTTTTTCATGATTTATCAGTAATATACTCAACTCATATTTAAGCCAGTTTCGAAACTTTTCGAGAACATTAAATTTTTAGGACACAATAAAGCCAAAACTGTACCTTCTTCAAAATTAATTCTGTTTCATTTATAATCTAAATCGTATTTTCCCGTTTAATTTTTTAAGCTGATATGTAATTATTTACATTGAAAAAAATCACACTACATGCATAATCAGATAAAATAGTTATTATGACACTTTGATTAACTATAGTGATGATTTTGAAAACTTTTATTAACTATAGTGATGACTATGACACTATAAAATTTACACTACAAGCACATAGACATTTAAAAGAACTAAGTATAGTACTGACATTCTGTAAAGTTCAAAAAGTTGCAAGCTTATTAATTACGGATTTTCTTGATTGTGGTAATCTAACTGTCTGATTATTTACCAATAAACTTCCGTGAGTTTAAAGGTAAACCTCATGAGAAAAAATTTTCATGTTCATGTACAATAGTATATTAATGATCCTTGGGAAGTTTTAACTTGAATCATTTTGATTCGCTTTACATACGTGTAATTTGGGAGGATGTTATTGGCAAAAGCTATCTTATATAATTAAAGGAAATAATGAACATTATATATGTATCAGAAGAGCTATTTTACATCAATTTCATTTTTGAATTATTTTCCTTTAAGCCTTATTCATATTTCCTTACGCCTTTCTTGATAATTATTTACTTACACATTTATATGTACATGTAATTGGCATGTGCAATGTATACAATATTTTAAAGTTAAATGATGCGAATAATAATCTAAGATTTTTATCTCCTAACATATCAGAAAAATGTTTGTTCTTTAAAATATTATCATCTAAATTTTTATGTATCGGGTGATAAGAGCTGACAA